GTCTCCCCACCCCCACCCCCACCCCAAGCTTTGTGTATTGCCCATTGAGTTACTTACCACAAGGTTAACTGTTCAAATCCACCAGCCCCTCTGCAGGGGAAGGTTGGGGTTTTCTGTTGCTGTGGAGGAGCCCAGACGACTTAGTGGGTTACAAGCTGGGCTGCTAACTGTGAGGTCAGAAACCACCAGCTGCTCCGCCGGAGAAAGATGAGGCTTTCTACCCCTGAAAAGATGTACAGTCCTGGCAGTGCAAAGGGATTGCGCTACTGTGTCTTATAAGGTTACGAGGGGCCACAGCGAACTCTACCGCAGGGAGAACGAAGATCGGCTACTGTAAAGATTTGCAGTCTTGAAACTATACAGCAGCGGTTCTCAACCTGTGGGCCACGACCCCTTTGGGGGTCCAATGACCCTTTCACAGGGGTCACCTGATTGATAACAGTAGCAAAATTACCATTATTAAGTAGCAATGAAAATAATGTTATGGTTGGGGGTCACCACCACATGAGGAGCTGTATGAAAGGGTCATGGCAGTAGGAAGGTTGAGAACCACTGCTCTACAGCTGTGAGTTGGAATCGACTTGATGGCCGTGGGTCTAACAGTACTTGTACGTATCCCTCGTTGAAGTTTAGTGGCTCCCAGGTTTGGCTGATGTTCCTGGTCTGTGAACCATATTGTAGTACCAGGGATCTGCATGGTGATCAAATGAGTTAGTAAACGAAATGATGCTATTCCAAGAGGTACAGAATACTTTCTTCTATTGCATTCCTGTGTCGCAACTCAGTGTCCGTATCATTGAAGATAAAATCTTGAGTCAAGATAATTTGTAACAGTCCACCTCCCATTGAATGCTTCAGCCATTCAGACCTTTCTGTAGTTTATTCAGTATGCTTTGTTCTCGTCAAGTACTGTTTGAACAACAACAATGGGTAGCTTTACAAACAAAGCCTTTGCTCACATGTAAGAGGCTAGAAGTCTGAACGTAAGGGTGTCAGCTCTGGGGGAAGGCTCTCTTGGTCAATTCTAAGGAAGTTCTCTTGATGATCACATATCTTGTACCTTCCCCCCATCTGTGCTTGCTGGTTTAATCTATTATATGTCAAACGAGATTGACTTAAAACACGCCAGCCATTAATAACACCACATTAACATAACAATGAACATGCAGTCTCAAATGAGGTTCCAACCATAGGTATAGAGGTCAGGATCCACAGCACTTGTTCTCAGGAGACACAGTCCAACCTGAACATCTGTATTCAGGCCTCTGTCGCTTTCTTCCTCCCACATCTATACCTGTAAACCCTAGGTGAGGGGTCCTGCTGTGTGTCTCCTTGTTTTTCCCATGATGGGATTGCCATTGTTAATTTGTCTCTTCCTCTAGGCTGTCATATCACTGAAGGTAGGGACTGCCCAAGGACTACGTGAAATATTCTTATATCCTTCTCTTTAGCATTGTCCCTGAGACGTCGTGCTGGGGGCATGAATCATACTCCCGATTATCAGTCCCGTGTTAGGGAATCGTGGCCAAAGAGAGAAGACTTCTCCATCTTCTTGGTTAGCATTAATTTGGAGAAGCGCAAATTCCTAGGAGAAATACTGTGTTTCTGATTCTCAGTTTTCCACCGTTGACAAAGCACAGCCTTATCATTTTTCTATTGCTCATTTTAATGGGAAATATTTACCTTCTCTGGTAGATTTCTTCCTTACACAAGTTCTAGCTTTTTCAGCTTTTACTGTATTTTTTCCTGCTAATATTATTAAAAACTTTCTGCATTCAATGACAACTTGCACATTGACAGTTAATGATGAGAACCTGATTGTATAATGTCCATTTTTAGTCTCAGGATGGCTCCAAGTAGATAGGCAGTTACTGTGTCCATTCTAAGAGGTTTCGTTTTCTGTGAAACAAAGCATTTAAAAAACAACTTTTTTGATTGTCAATTTGAGGAAGGTTTGCTGAGCAGATGATCAGTTTCTACATTCAACAGTCCACACATAGTTTGCATTGTCTCCTTCAATACAGTCCCCTCAATGCAACACCACTCACCCCTCCTTCCTACGTCTCCTGCCTCCACCTCTCCTCCTCTGCCCACCCTTCTGAACTTTGTCTTTGGGAAAACATTGTCCCTTCATCTCATATGGATGATTATTGTAAGGTCATAAGGCACATGAACTTCACTAGTGTTACCGTTCCTCTTATATACCTGTCTCTTGTTGGGCTGATAATGGAGCCATGGGGATAAGTTCTGTTCTAGACCTGAAAGGTCACGTGACGTCTTGCAGATGCCACCAGTTTCTATCCAACTAATAACCTAGGTCTCTTATGATTTTGAGTTTTGTTCCACCTTTTCCTCCCACTTTATACAGGTTCTAAAGAAGTATTTTTTTATGGTGTCTTAGCAGTACCAACAGTGTTTACTATAGTTAGTTGAGTTTGGATGGATTGAAGGTGGCATAGCCATGGACATGAATGAAAATCAAACCTCACTGCCATCAAATTAATTCCGACTCATTACGCCCTGAGAGGACAGAGTAGAACTGAAGCTGGAGGTTTCTCAGACTGTAACTCTGTACA